TGGTCAAACCAACTAATAAAACCAATTTTTTTCAACAGCATGAACTTGCATCACCTTCTTTGAGAAATCTAAAGTATACTTAGGACAGCAGGACCTGGCTGCTCTTCAATAGCAGGTGGAGCAATGATAGAACAAGGACCCTTTCGGACGAATCCCGATGGAAAAACTCTATGGTATTAACCAATATGCATGGAACAATGGTGAGTACTTGCATCCTTAAAACAATTTATAAAATAGATTTTTTGAACGAATCACCTCTTATAGAAGTTCTGTTGTTGGAAATGTAGGGGCAAATGTCCTCTTCTTGGAATCTCCGGCTGGTATTAGATTTTTATATCCCAATACTCATCAAATTATGTTACTGGGGACAAAAAAAAAACACTAGATTCATATACCTTTCTAGTTAACTGGTTGGAAAGATTTTCAGAGTACAAAACCCGAAACTTCCACTTGAGAGAGTCATGTCAGTCATTACGTGCCTCAGCTTGATGATTTAATCCTTGAAAGCAACAAAACCATAGATAAAACTGTCATTAACCTGAAAGGAATTGATGTAAGCTTTCAGGTACAATATGCAGTCTGTTTCTATAATGTGTCTTTCTTATCAAGAATCATAAGATCTATGCGTGTTACATAATGGACTCCAAACACAAAGAAAATCGGGCTCAGTTAACGACAATCGACCACCATAATCAACAAACCCAAACCCAATCCCAACCGAACCTCCCAAAATCAATTGTTCTCTAGTTCCCACAAAGGGCAACAGTGTGGAGAATATTGTAGCCTCAAGAATAGGGATGGCAATTCGAACTGTTAAAATCGAAAACCGCGGCTAACCGAACTGAATGGGGCGAAAAAAATAGAACCGATGGTGCAATGGGGCGGTTATGGTTTTGATTTTAATGAACTGCTTCATTTAGGAGCGGGTATGGTATTTAGCGATGGTGCACCGCCTCGAACCGATTACCCGTTAAAAAAATTTAATTGGACTTTCCATCATTCTTTTCCAAAATTAATTGGGCAATTTTGACAATTGGGCTCCCAAAATTCTAGCCCAATTAACAT